GCTGATGCATGAAGATTGAATTCGATTTAGGTTTTGCGACACTGATCGCTTGGAGCCCTGTTCACCTTACCTCACTCTGACTGAAAGCGAGTATTGCATTGAATTCCGGATAATATTCATTCTGCATATTTGGGGTAAACTGAAATCACACATCAGGAATTACTTGCGACATAGCTCTCAGGAACCTCCCGTTACTACAAGGTAATTAGTAGTTGTTATAGAAAAATTCTCCTCGGTGTTTAGACGAACGCTATGGATTTCAAGCGTGATGTATGACTACTCAATTTGTCCCAGATCATTAGCAGCACAATAGGACCTTGACAGTGAATTTGCTGTTTACAGGGCGACATCCAGTCGCTAAACGATATTCTTACCAGGTCTACACACCAGGGATCGAGATTTATCATCACTTAGGTGATACTCAATCAGTTATAGAAAACAACTCGCTGAATTCAGACTATTAATTTTTCCGAATCACTAAAAAGTTGCCAATATATGAGAATTGCTACTTACTAGAAATGTCCTAACGTGTCTGGGGAATCCACCTCACCTTCACAGTTAATACCAGCACGCAGGTTGATGGAAGCAAGCTAGCGATTTTGAGTGAGGGTAGAGTCAGTTCCTCTTATTGAATATAGAGCAGTAATTCGAGGAAAATCCAGAATCTACAACGAACTGGCCACTCAGTTTGGGACTGCATGGCTGAATAAATTACTCGTCTGGCCTATATTTTGAGCCAGTGATGCATTATACTAAGTTTTATGGACGGAGGAATTATAGTTCCACACGTCTGATGTATCATCTAGAAATCGTTTGTCGCATCACCGTCATATTTCTTTGGAAACGTTTATCTTTCTGTTAGTATATCGAGAAGGTGAGCCCAAAACGTCAGTTGGTTGTGTATATAACTGAGCTTGGAGTCCACATAAGGTATTCTTTGCTCTTGATTGACTGAGTTTATCTCATCTCAAGTCACTTGAAAAGTAGGAGAGTAAAAAACGTTTCGGTCCCTAAATGCAAATCTCACTTTGTTGGGGATTTCAATATCCCCGAAAACTCCGTATCTTTGTGTGTGCTAACGAACTTCCGGCATTTTCAAGGTCAGACTATGAATATATATATATATATATATATATATATATATATATATATATATATATATATATATATATATATATATATATATATATATATATATATATATATATATATATATATATATATATATATATATATATATATATATATATATATATATATATATATATTCATAGTCTGACCTTGAAAATGCCGGAAGTTCGTTAGCACACACAAAGATACGGAGTTTTCGGGGATATTGAAATCCCCAACAGAGTGAGATTTGCATTTAGGGAACATTTCATTTTTTACTCTCCTACTTTTCAAGTGACTTGAGATGAGATAAACTCAGTCAATCAAGAGCAAAGAATACCTTATGTGGACTCCAAGCTCAGTTATATACACAACCAACTGACGTTTTGGGCTCACCTTCTCGATATACTAACAGAAAGATAAACGTTTCCAAAGAAATATGACGGTGATGCGACAAACGATTTCTAGATGATACATCAGACGTGTGGAACTATAATTCCTCCGTCCATAAAACTTAGTATAATGCATCACTGGCTCAAAATATAGGCCAGACGAGTAATTTATTCAGCCATGCAGTCCCAAACTGAGTGGCCAGTTCGTTGTAGATTCTGGATTTTCCTCGAATTACTGCTCTATATTCAATAAGAGGAACTGACTCTACCCTCACTCAAAATCGCTAGCTTGCTTCCATCAACCTGCGTGCTGGTATTAACTGTGAAGGTGAGGTGGATTCCCCAGACACGTTAGGACATTTCTAGTAAGTAGCAATTCTCATATATTGGCAACTTTTTAGTGATTCGGAAAAATTAATAGTCTGAATTCAGCGAGTTGTTTTCTATAACTGATTGAGTATCACCTAAGTGATGATAAATCTCGATCCCTGGTGTGTAGACCTGGTAAGAATATCGTTTAGCGACTGGATGTCGCCCTGTAAACAGCAAATTCACTGTCAAGGTCCTATTGTGCTGCTAATGATCTGGGACAAATTGAGTAGTCATACATCACGCTTGAAATCCATAGCGTTCGTCTAAACACCGAGGAGAATTTTTCTATAACAACTACTAATTACTTTGTAGTAACGGGAGGTTCCTAAGAGCTATGTCGCAAGTAATTCCTGATGTGTGATTTCAGTTTACCCCAAATATGCAGAATGAATATTATCCGGAATTCAATGCAATACTCGCTTTCAGTCAGAGTGAGGTAAGGTGAACAGGGCTCCAAGCGATCAGTGTCGCAAAACCTAAATCGAATTCAATCTTCATGCATCAGCGCCCGGCACACCTGGCTTCACTCTGAAGCAAGAATTGTTCAGTTATGGCATTTTTTCGGTGCCTAGCTGCCATGTCACTAGAAACAAGCATGAGGGCCGGGATACCGCCAAGGTGCCCAAACCTAGAGAGGGGAACCCGAGAGGCAGAGCTCGGGTTCGGACCACGGAACTTCCGGTAAGTAAACTCGCGCTCTAACAACCAAGCCAATACAACTGAGACAATACTGCGTAATCAATGTACAAGTTCTCTTCTTTTCTATTGAACACATCGACATGTGTTCGTGTACCTTCATGCGATCGACCCTCTTTCGGCAGGTACGCAGTCAAACGAAGCCAAACCATTGACCTCCAACTGCATAACTGTGGAAACGCACCTAGATCCCGGTCCCCGAATATCCACTTAGTCCAATGTCTCATATGTAAGACGTCAGTTAGTGGTATACACTCGTTTGCATACCGATTTAGTTTTTGACGCAGAATCACTGGGAATCACGCTGGATCTCTCAATTATGACGTTTTAAGCAAATGAGTGTGCTGTACCAGGCCACCTCACGTTTCAGTTGGCGCGATATTCGGGATATCGTGATACATTATATAGACGTAGTATGGTAACAGCAAAGTTGGTGAAAACTCTTCGACAGACAGCGAGCGGTTTCGCTCTTTTTGAAGAAAAACCCGAACTGGGTTCAAGTAGAACATAAAATTGAGGAAAGTCGGGATTGCCTTATCTGAAGAGCCCCTTGAAAGGCAAGAGCGGTCGTGGGCTGTCGAAGAGTTTTACCAGCCTTAGGAGTAGTGTATTACGTCTACAAAATGTCAGTTCTTCAGTGTGAAGAAACATTCGTCGAGGTGCCTGATCGATATTTTCAAACCCAGGTGTTGGTCATATTCAATGAGGAAAATCAGGCGTGCCACTAAACGCCGCAACATTGGGTAAACTTCGAGTCAGTTAACCAGTTCGTCTAATTATGTGTAGCGTAGGGCATGCTTCCAAAACTGGTCCTTTACGAGGCCGCAGCTCTAGTGTATAAAACTCCACTAATTTGGTGGTTGCCTGCCATTTTAAGACAACCAGTCAACAACAGGCAACAAGTCACTCCCGTTCCTTCCCATATTCAAATCTTGACAAACAAGCCGCAGACTGGTACCCAAACCAACATTCCGAGGCCGGTTAACTCACGATCACGAGCAGCAGCACGTCCTGGCTTCGCTCTACTGGCTGGCTCCTTGCAGGTTTTCTTGGAGAGTTGTCAACCCCAATCGAAAAGTGTGTGTATTGAATGTAACTGCCGTTATAAGACAATTTATTTTGGATTCGGGGAAAGCGTTTTATTTGTGAAAATGTTAGACTTGGAACACTTATCTTATCCATAGACGTATTAGATGCTGGGAGGTTGCATATTGTGAGAGTACTGCACTTCAGATAATTTCCTTCAATGAAGGTACTATTCACAGCATACAAGGGAGCCATGCATCGAGGGGCAAGTTATTTTGATTGGATGTCAACGTTCAGCTTCAACTCGTATGTATCAATTGCGTTGTTTGCATAAATGTATTTGATGTTGCTATTATAACTTCTGGATAGAAATAATTGGACCACGTGTCTCCCCCCTAGTACATAGGCGGGAAACACCACATTGTTGGTTGGTGTGGTCTCATCATTGCAGTCAACAATATTCCAGGTCAAACACGAATTGAACGCATCGTCAGAGTCAGACACGTTCATATGGCGTACTACATAAGAAAGATATTTGAAATGAAGTTGTGGCAACGGGTGGCATCCTTGAACACTGGCTGCTTTTGAACATTCCTCGTGGATTGGCGAGCGAAGCATCCAACTGTTTGTCAGACTGACACTTCCCGACAGGGCAGATTTTCTCAAACTTCGGGCAACATGCCTTGCTTCTAGGGAGGCACAGAAGGTCATCCTTCACTGTACACATCTCAGTATCTTCTTAGTTAAGAGGTTCAAAATTTATGTCATGCAAACTATGTAGCTCCGCTCGGCTGCACGAATAGCGCGGTCACAAGCAGTCCCATACGGACGTGTTCCCGACCAGAATTCATGTGAGCGATGAACTACTGCCGGTGCGGCGACAGTACTCCATTTACGAGTAGAAATCTCGATGGCTAGTATAGTTCGATCACTGAGTATACCGGTCGGTCGTGTAAACTTCAATATTTCAAAACCAAAGTTCAAGAATTCTATGAAACATCAATCAACCGAACAAAGAGTAGTTCAGGTCCTGACAAATCGCCATTGGCTAATATTTGTGCTATCCGCTGCGCTCAGTCGTTTTCTGTATTTGCCGTCAACGAACGATTTGTGGTCACTGGACAGTGTCTCTTGAATGAATATACCCACTGAGTTGCCAAGTTGTTAATTGCACTCGACGCAAGATTTAGTGGATGGCAGTGAAAAAATTGTCAGCATTCTGGAAGGCATACCGCATATCGCCAAAGCTGTTTCCACAACGGCAAATGCAAAAATCAATAATATGCGCGCACTCAACTCTCCTTAGCTTGTTGTCTGACACGTCGGTGCAAAATAACCGAAGAAATCAAAGACAATTGACTACAAATCACTTGAGGGGTGTTTCGGTGTTGCTGTGGCGGTGCAATGCATGTCGCGGCAACTTTTACTAGGATTCTAAACTTGCTAGAGGAGGAGGACAAACACCCCATCGACAAATATATCACGGAGAACCCAGCCCGCAGTATCAGTGGCCGAGAATGGAACAATCTAGTCAGGTCAATTAAACGAACTCAACATGAACTTCCATATTGAGGATGCGAAGAACTCCTGATTGTCAGACCAAAACACGGATTGTTCCTCGGAATGTCTGCTCTCCGATTTGTGTTCTCTCCAGTAATGTAGTCCCTTCGGATATTATTAAGCTGTTTTGAACAAGCGATCGCGTCGGAATGGAGTTTGTTCTGAATTGCCAAAGAGGTATGTGTGTGGTGTTTCACTGGGCCATGTAACTCCAAACTACCACTCGCTTGGCGATTCCACCGTTCGAGATCACTTCATCGGGGCAGCTGCTACTCGGTTTCACGACCCAATCTGTCCTATCTGATGACTGAATCGAAACCCTTAGGTGAAAATCGTGGCGCAGTGTGCATCTCATCACGGAAGAGGAGTAATAAACTAGCTTTTGGATGTGTATATATAGCAAAATATTTCTCGGCGACCGAAATATTATCCGGAATTGACTGGGCTCCAGTAAGTTTCCGTTCTAGCTTATGCTCGCTTGCATGCTGAGCGACGATCTTTATATCGTTTTGAGTGCATTATTTCATTCACAATTGGTGTATTGCTTTCTCTGTCGGTATACATTACTGTCAAACATGTCTGAATGGGTCAGTCAGGAATTGTCGGTCCCTAGATGTGGTCACTAAAGCGGGTGCTGTCACTGAGCACCGGTCTTCAAACA